CTATTCTAACATGCTTAAGGCCCAATCTAAAATATATTTTATAATACTAATTTTATCATCTAACCTATAATTTATATATTTTATAGTGTTAAATAAAAATAAACAAATATTTTTAATTTACATATAATAAAATACATTCACATAAAACTAAAGTCATTTCCGTTGAAAATACTAAAAATTTAAAATTATAAAAGTTACAAGGAAGTTTTAAAATTAATCTATGTAAATAAAACTATTTTTTTAATCATGTTTCTATATATTGGTCATTCAACTACCTTAATTTGTATCAAATCAATACTATTAATACATAAGTTATTATTATCTACTTATAAATAGTCTACATTAGACCATTGCATTTAACTATATTTTCTACTATTTCTAATTATAACTAACTTAATTATGATTAAATATATATCATACCCTTAAAGTAAGGAACTAAATAACCAAATCTATTATTTTCTTAAAATTAAGAATTAAATTTATATTAACACTAATTTAAGTAACTAGTCAATAAATATTAATTTTTGGTTACTATTGATATTTAATGATATGATGAAACATGTTATTATTGAGACTTTTATGAATATACTTTTACGATTTATTACAACATGTAAAATATTTATCAAATATAAACTAACTGAACAAAACATAAATCATACTTTATGTTAGGTTTGGGCCTTCAGGTACCTATTGGGATACGAATTAGGTATTTTGAATTTTGATTCTAATTTATAACACATTCTAGGTCTCATCTGGTAAATTTGTTAGTACGAATCGGATCTGGATATAACACTCGTAAAGTAACCATATAGAGTTTGGATTCGGGTTACATTTGGTATATCTTAAGTTAAATCCAAAATTTAAAAACAAAAAATAAGAAATAAATATTTATTTATATAGAATTGGATATGTAAGGTACTTATTAAAATTTAAATACTTATTTTTAGATATTATTTCCAAATAAATATAGAATTGAATAATTTAAATACAGATTTATGTTTAAAATATTTATATTTATGATTAATTTGGACATTGGGATCATGTTTTGAATGTTTACAGATTTTTTTCGGTTTTTGGGTTCTCCGTTCGAGTTCGACTAATAACACTTCGGATTCAGATATGTTTTCTACCACCCTACAAGATCCATTATGTATTTCTTACATTAACCAAGTATGGATTGAGAATTTTGGTTTGGGTTTGTTCAGAATTTGGGAAACTGATTTTATGTCCATGCTAACTTTGAATAAAGATAAAATTAGATTATATAAACTTTTCATCGAAAAATTATCCCACGCTTTGAAAATATGGATCAAAATCTAATACATGTTTTAAATTAGGTATAATAATGACAAAAGGTTAGAGTATAAATTTTCATTTGTTTAGAACATAACATATTCGTATAGAACCGGTCCTTCTTTTGTTGAGGCTACATGCCAAAAAATGTGGCTGGTTAGGTTGGAACCCTTCACCTCTTATAGAAAATAGATAGATTTGACCATTGGACTGAAGTCACCTTTGCTAAATTTGTGATCGATATGTAGTTAAGAATATGAAGTCTACAAGCTCATGCTTCATTGGTTTCTAGCCGGAGACAACTCTGTATACGTAAGAAAATAACTGGTTTATCTAGGACATATGTTACAGTAAATGATAGAACATAAGTTAACGTTTCTATACTTTTTAAAAAGACAGTTCAAATTCTACAATATATTACATATCTTATATATTAAAACAGAAGTCATGACTTGAATTCATGTGTGATTTTTTTTTTAAATGGACTATTACTAGAAAGTCATGTTACATTAACTCTATAATAATCTTTATCATTATTATATCTTAGGAAAAATCATATCTATAATAACAAAGATACACTTAACAATTTGGTTTTGGTAAATTACCCCACACCTTCCAACTTAGTCACGCAAAATATGTCAACAGATATAAGTTTAGGAATCTTCTATTATTTATAAAGAAATATGTCAATAATAATTAAATGCATCCACAATATATTAACAAAAATCACAGATTCGTAATATGAAATATTTATATACCCTAACAAAATTTACACGCTATATATACTAGATAAATTTATTTCGATGTACATTTTTAAAATTATATTCTTTTTAAAAAATTATTTTTTAAAAATATTCTTTTTAATAAAATTCTTTATAATATTAATTTATGAAGCTATAAGTTTAGTTTTTAGCAAAAAATTCTTCGAAATTTATATTATCTTTACAAATTAAAGTATACTAATATTTAATCAAGCTCTATTTATATTACTTTATCTAAAAATGAAATACTAATTTAACAAACAATAAAATATTAAAGAAGAAACAAACACATGTTTGAAAAACATGTATAATATAGAAAATTTCAAACAATCTATTTGATTAAAACACGTATTATATAATATTAATATGTTTGAAAAACATTTACTATACATATCGTAAATAAATGATTACTATAATATATACCAATTTACAAGTGAAAGCAAAATGTTTATATAACTAACTATAACGAAAACAAACATCCGCGCGGTTGCGCGGGTCAAAATCTAGTGTTACTTAAAAGATGTCATTTTAACATTTTTTCTTGTTACACTAAAAATGTCATTTAAGAATATCAATGAAAATTATACCTACTTTCAGTTTAATATTAATTGCAAATTGCAATGCTCTTATAAATAATTTTGTTAATCTCAAATACTAATTTTAAAATTTTTGTAAGTAATAAGAACATAAATGCAATTCAATCATTTTTCTTAATCTGTGTTAAATATGTTAAGTGACACTAAAAAAACGGATGTATGTTCAGGGCCGGCTCAACATCTTTTTGGGTTTGGGGAAAAAAAAAATTAAATTCTTAATATTTATTTTTATTTAAAAAATTTGAAAAAATATTTTTTTATCAATATTTTTTATAAAATGTGAGATGAAAATACATTATATACACATAAAATATTTTTGGGCCCCTTTTCAACTAAATTTAGTTAATATTTTCAAACTTTTATATTAAAATTGTAAATATAAAAAATATTGGACCCCTTAATTGATAATATACGGGGGACACGGATTCGGTCCCGGGACGATCGCACCGATTGTCCTCCCCTCTCAGCCGGCCCTGTGTATGTTAATACTAACAACAGATTACTACAGTTAAAATAAGCATATGTATTCTAACAAAAAAACTACAGATAGAATAGAGGCATATGTATTCTATATTTAGATATATCATAAATAACTTTAAAAAAATTATTTACACCTTCATAAAACATAGAAAACAACTTAGAATGCTTCTTTTATCATTAGAAAAATATTTATAACATATAGTTTAATAAGTCTATCAATAGGCGAAATTACTTTTGAATTCAGTTTTTATATAGCAAAACATGTAACTTATTGGGGAAATTGGGAAAATACATAATGAGAATGTTTTTTTTTCCTCTTTATACCTTCCCATTTATTAATCTGTTTTAGACATAATTGTCTTCATAATAACGAACATAATAATTAAAAATAATATAGATATAAAAATATGAAAAAATCAACACAATCATGAGAATATTTTACATTTTTGATGTGAAAAATAAATTACAAAAAAAGTTGAATATGTTTATCTAGATTGGTTAGAATGTATAATGTAATTTTTTTACAAGGATAAAATACATGTGCTAACTTATTCAACGTTTTATAAAACTTAGAAGTCATATTGTACACTTTTCTCTATGATCTGAAAATACGCCTGCCTCAGATTTAACCAAAATATTTTGTTATTTATAATATATAATATGTATTATATGCTTTTATTTCCTTTTTTAAAAAAAATAGAAAATGATTACCTCTATTTTATCATTAATTATATCATACATCATAGATAAGATTATAATTATTACCTTTATGATATGTTCTAACCATGTTTAAATTTATATTATATCCTTATATATGTATTTTATCTTTTTAAAATATGTTTTCTAATTTTTTAGTTATCTTATTATTTTAAACTTGAGTAAATCTAGAAAACAATCCTAACTAATTTTATTTAAACTCTAATTAATATAGATTTCATTCACATCATAAATCCTCAAAACAAAAGAAGAGGAAGAATCCGTTGAAAGAAAAAAATCTTGAGAAGACGAAGAAGAAAGAATTGTAATATCTGGTAGAAATAACGCAGTAGAAATCACTGAAGAATCACCTTAATTTACTTTCTTCCAAAGGAGACAAATTGTGAAGAAACGGAACTAGGAGTAAAATTATCATCGGGGATGAATCCATTTAGAAATCCACTCCAGATATTCTACGAAGATAGAATATTTGGCATGGCCAGATCTAGATCCAAATAGTAAAATCTCCGATCCGTCGAAACGTCATATGAATACAATATTATGTTATTTATTATTTTTTTAATTATAGGGTTAGTAAAATTGTGTTATTTGTTTAATTATAAGGTTACTTTCGTATTTATAAAAATAAAGGTATAATAAGATAAAAACAATAAATACAAGTAAAGGTATATTAAGATAAAAACAACAATCTTTTGGACAAATCTTTTCTCAATATGGTCCCATTATCCAATTTTTCCTAAATTATTCTCATAATTGTATTGTTTTTTCATATTTTCTGACTTATATAAAAAAATGAAATAATTGTTTTTTGTCTTTATGAGGGTAATTATGTTAAAATTGACCAATTGGAAATGTATAAAAAGACAAAACATATTTTCACTATAGCCTATTTTACCAATTACATTCAAATCGGAACAGATACCCAAATGTGTAAGCCGAATTATTGTTATTTACTGGCACTTTACATGACTTTTGTCATAAGAGGAAACGATTGTCTTTTAGTGTTTTTTTTTACAGTCCCTCTTGTCGGCTCCGTGACGAGAGAAGAAGAGATCTCTAATCTTCTTCTTTTTCTTCCTCTTTCTCTTCTTCGTCCTTGTTCTTCTTCATCTATCTGTTGATTCAGTTAAGCTCCTCTTCAAGACTCCCACGGATGGCGGAGATCGCTTCCACCTCCGCCGGAAGAGGCCACCAGTCTCCGCCGGCACCGATAATGAACTTAGCCGATGACCATCTCTTCACAGTCCTGCTCCTCCTCCCCGTAGATTCAATCCTCTCTTTCTCAGCCACCTGCAAAAGATTCCGGAACCTCGCTTGCTCAGACAGTCTCTGGGAGTCCTTATGGCGCCGAGAGTGGGGCCCATCATCTGTGGAATCTATCAAGTCTTCATCCTCTTCTGCTCGAGATGGATTGTTATTACCGTGGATGGTTCTGTTTAAGAGAGTGTGCAAGCTTGATTCCGTCTCTTGTCACAGAATCACAAACCTAGATGATGATGATGAGAAGGAGGAGGAGTCTTTGTTACCTCTCCCTAGAGCTTCTCATTCTCTCAACTTCGTTACTGATTATCTTGTCCTCTTCGGTGGTGGCCGTGAAGGAGGTATCAAGTTCTCTCCTATTGAAAGTGAACTCTCTACTGCTTGTTTTTATTCATTTATGTATATGTGTGTTTACAGGACGTCATCTTGATGATACATGGACGGCTTACGTTGGAGAGAGCAATCAGAAGACGTTAAAGTGGAAGAAAGCAGAGTCAGTAACACCTGGTGGGAGATTCGGACACACCTGCGTTGTCATAGGAGACAGTCTGGTCTTGTTTGGAGGAATAAACGACCGTGGAGAGCGGTTAAACGACACATGGATCGGTCGAGTGACTTGCCAGCTAACGTGGAAGCTACTCGGCGTTGTGGGAACAACGAAGCCGCCTCCTCGAGGTGCTCATGCTGCTTCTTGTATCTCAGAGAAGACGATGGTTGTGCAAGGAGGAATAGGGTTAAGTGGAGTGAGACTGGGGGATACATGGATTCTCGAACTTTCCGAGGATTTAAACTCAGGGACATGGCACGAGGTTGTGTCTAATGCCTTGTTACCACCACGGTCGGGACATACTTTGACTTACATAAGAGAAAACCAAGTGGTTCTGTTTGGAGGGAGAGGGTTGGGTTATGAAGTGCTTAACGATGTTTGGCTTTTGGATATTCAAGAGCAGTGTGAAAAATGGATACAGATATTCTATGACTTTCAAGACTTGGAGGAAAGTGATTCATTACCAAGGGTTGGTCACTCGGCCACACTCATATTGGGTGGTCGGATTCTGATTTATGGAGGAGAAGATACTTTTAGGCACAAGAAAGATGATTTTTGGGCGTTGGATATCAAAACCATTCCTTCTACAGGTCTGCAGCTAGATGGAGGAGCGGTTTGTTTAAATGGCTCAAAGGCGTGGAAGAGGCTTGATGGTGGTGTGTCTTACAGACCCAAAGGGCGGTCTTTTCATCGCGCCTGCGCTGATAGTTCAGGACGGTATGTGTATGTGTTTGGTGGAATGGTTGATGGTCTTCATGTTGCTGTAACATCAAGTCTTAGGTTTGAAAATGAGCTCTTTATGGTGGAGCTTCTTCTTGGCTTGTAGGAAACTCAGACCATTTTTTTCTTTGTATTAAAGGGTTTGAGTTAAGAAACCTACAATAACATTAGTATTGGGTCTTGTTTGTGCTGAAGTGTCTGATCTATATGGTTTTAAAGATGCAGGGCACTGTTACATGTTTTCATCTACACTTGAAAAAAGTTCAAGTACATAGTTTAACATATGTAGAACTTATGTGTGTATTGGCTTGTTAGGCTTGTCCCATTGTTAGATCAGCTCAAAGGTGGGTTTTGAAAAAAACAACTTGTTCCATATGTTCCATTGTTCCTAAGCAAAGGTAGGTTTTAAACATTGATATATATATATATATATACTAGGTAATTTTCCCGTGCTCATGCACGGATATAAATATCTATAAAATAAATATATTATAATAGTTGATTGATATTTATTTAACTTTTATATTAATTTATAGTTTTATGTATAAATTATATTAAGAATATTATATTATTTTAGTTATATATAATTTGAGATATATTATATTTAATCAGTTTTATCATTTGGGTATATATATATATATATATATATACTGGATTTTATCTATTTCTCTTAATTCAACTATAATATTTTTTATTCTAAATATCTTAAATTTTTGATTAATTATTTGATTTACATTTATGTTGGTTGTTATCTTAGAAATATAAGTATATCTTAGTAAGATTATGTATTTTAAGATTTTTTGTGCTTAGAACGAAAAATAAAAACTAAAGTGTCTGATTCTAAATTACATACATAAGTAATAATAAATTTTTAGAAGCTTATGAACACATATCAATATTTACAATAGTTGAATATTTTATAAATTTTAAATAATTTATGCCTTAGATTGATTGGATGGTAAACTGAAATTTATTTTAAATAATTTTAAAAATAAGGAATTCTAATTTGCTTAAGTATTTTGATTATGGTTATATTAAACTCCACAAACATAAAAACATAAAATTAAACATCAAAAGAGTTATTAAGAAAACAGATAATTTCAACTATTAAAGTATAATATATCTATCTCGTTAAATTATATAGTGTTATGATATTTTAAAAGAATTGTAGTTATTTAATCAAAAGATGTTTATTATTAAAAAAATTTCTAGTTTTGTTTTTAATATATCTTAAAATATGCAGTAAAAATGTGATTGTTTTTGAGAAATTATATTATATAAGTAAAATATAATATATATTTTTTGCTGTAAATGTAAGATATTATAATCAAATAAATATACTAATTATAATTTTTTTGTCAATTAAACATATACCAATTTATGTTACTTAATATATTATTTTATGTAATCATCTAATAAAATAGATAGATATATACAAAAACTAATTACTTTGAAAATATATATTTTATTGTTTAAATTATTTTTTAATTTCTTTTTTCTAATATCAAGATTATTTGTATGAACTTTTTTTTTATGAAAACACATCATATACAAATATTATTTTCATCTAAGAAGATATAGATATAAAGTATAATTACTTAACATGTATAATTTATGTTATTTAAAAATATATTTAAGTTAAATATTACTATTTTGTAAACTTTCCTTTTTTATGAAACCATATTATATATGTACTTATTTTTTTCGTTTTTAAATAGTTTTGTAAATTTTATAAATGTTTCCTTTTTGTTTTATATTGTTATTTGGAAGATTTTAAAAAGGAAATAATAATATTTAAGTATATTTTTAATTTATTAGGGGTATCATAGTAATCAACCAGCGTGAGAGTTAACGTGAGCGCGACACCTAAGAAAGTGACTTCTCAAATAATATTATAGAGATATATATTGATTAAAATATCCAAAAAGGTAAATGTGTTGTGATTTATGAGAACAGAAGACAAGAAAAAAGCACACAAAGATGTGTTGAAAAAATTGTAGGGACCTGGACCTATTTTTTTCCTTCGAATTAAAGGGTTCTGAGTTAAGAAACCTACAATAACAATAGTAATGGGTCTTGTTTTGAGCTGAAGTGTCTGATCTATATGGTTTTAATGATGCAGACATTGTTACAAGTTTTAAAAATCAAGTACATAGTTTAACATATATATGACATACAGGCTTACAGCAAGATGAAGAAAGCACACAAATATGTGTTGAAAAAATATTTTCTATATAAGTTTGTGTTTAGTTTACAGTATACAAATTCCCCATCAACATAAAGGATTATATAAGGCAATCGTTTTGTGGAATGGGATGAGTTAGGCTCAAAGAATATGAACTTCAAAAACTGTTGTGACTATGCATTACTAAAGGGAGATAGATTTCTTCTCTCTCACATGATCATGGATTCAGTATCAGTTTGGTTCTCCACATCTCTGCTATTACCTTGCGTGGTCCGGGATCATCAGGACCTTTGTCTCGTTGCCCCGAGGTGAAGTATAACTGCCCGTCCCAATACCCAACCAGCGTAGTCTTCACACGGTATGGCAACTTCCCAATCACATACCATTTCTGAAGAGAAAAAAACATAAAGTTAACACTTATTAACAGGCTAAAGAGGGTCTTAAAGCATGCAGACACATGTGTTTTTTTTACCATTGTATTCAGATTAAACTGGAAGATTTCGCCAACGAGAACCATCTTCTTGGTTTCAGGATGCTTCTCTGTTGTGCCTCCAACAATTACAATAGAGTTGTTAACCACTTTCCAAGCAAATTCAATATGCGAATCCGGTTTTGGCATAGATGGCATAACTTTCCACTTCATTTCCTCATCCAGCATATAAACATCACTGAATACCACCTTGAACCAACCAAGGTAAAGGGTAAGGACACACACACACACACAAAACGTTTCATAAAATAGTAACAATACCTCCAAACGGCGTGAGCATTTGAAGATGGGAGATCCTGGTTTAGCCATAAAATCACCTTCTTGACCACCAAGTACAAAAAGCTTGTCATCCACTACTACACACGCTCTACATTCACACGAACAGAGCCAATCCTCAGACAAAAAATTAAGGATGATGCATGAATCTACAAAGAAAACAAACCTGTGAGGTCCTCCACGAGGGATTGGAATTTCACTTCTCCACTCTTTCTCCAATGTTTTACCATCTTTAACAGCGATACTCCAGTGTTCAAGTCCTGGTGTATGACGATTCTCTTTGCTTCCACCCATCACATGGAGTCTACCTCTCCATAGCTGAGTAGCTGGAGCATACCTGAATTTAAATAAACCTAGGGACTGGTAAAGGATTCTCTTCTAACAAAATAATAAAAAGAATCAACAATCACCTAGGAACTGGTAAAGGAATGAAGTCACTCCATGTATTTGTATCAGTATCAAGCACAAATGTTTTAGCCGTAGGACCTCTACATTGAGGACCATACTGACCAGTGACGATGTAGATGTATCTCCCATCCGTTACCATCCCTAAATGAGAATGTGCCATCTCTTTAGGCATATCAAATCTTCCTCCCCATGTGTTATCTAGAAAGTTGTATACATCAACATGCGAATGCACCTGAACAATTGAAAAGACAGAAGAAACAAACTCATCATTGGTCCCAGTGTTCTAAAAATCTAGGCTCCGCCTAAATAATAATCCACAGCCTAGCGATTTCCTGAGCATTGATTAATTGGTCTAAAGCAGACAAATGCTATTTGATGTAAGATCTCCTCTTACAGGAGGCTTACGAGATTAATGTTGCCGTAACCAGCAAAGACATAAAGAAAGTTTCTAATTTGAATGGCAGCTCCATCTAGACGAGGCACAGGTGAAGGTGCCATCTTCTCCCAATGTAGCTGAGGAGCAGGCAAATCTTGAAACGTTGCAGAAAGTTTCCTTTCTCGAGCATTATCCTTCTTCGGACTATCTTTTTCCTAAAACAGAGCAGACATTTTTTGAGCTGTTTCTCTTTGTCTTTGAAAGACATCAAAAACAGAGCAAATCGAACACTTACATTGGAGCTAGGTGGGAGTTTTGTGGTGACGGAGGAGGGAAGAGAGATCATGGCGGAGGAGGAGAAGCGATGAGAGGAAGCCCAGAGGAAGTCGGCGACGAGGCCTAAGGCTAAAAGGGCGAGGAATGAAGCGAACACAAGCCGTCCATAACTCTGCTTTCCCGCTGGCTTCACCATCTCTCTCTTGTTTCTCTAAATTGGCATCTCCCTGAAGGGTTTCACGAAAGGTTAAACCTTTGGATTCAGTCGAAGCACACAGATTGTGGACGGATCTTGTGATCTCCTCCTAGAGAACGCGGAGGGCAAACCGAGTTTTTTTCTTTCCTCTGTTTATATATATTTATTTACTTTCCTTAATTAAATTTTTTGAACAAAAAAAAAACTTTCCTTAATTAAATAACATTCAGATTTATCGATACGGGTTAGTAGTGATGGCAATTGGGCATTCTCGTCCCGTCCCGGCCTGGACCACTGCAGACTTCACTTCATGCGGGTGTCTGCGGGTCGTCCCACCAAGTCCTGCGGTCTCCATATGCTCTGCCCAATACCGCTCCGCAAAACTGATGGGCCTTTGTGGTCAAGTCCACGGGTCTTCACACATTGCACTATTACCTAGTTTCAAGCCTATACTGTATGTGAGATTATTCCAAGCCTACACTACATGTGAGATTGTTCCAAGCCTCTACACTTTTAATTGTGTTTGTAGTTTTAGTAAAAATAAGTTTTTTTTTTTGAACAACAGTAAAAATAAGTTAAAAGTAAGTAACATGCAAATGATGTATTCTAAAGAAAAAAAAAGGTAACATGCAAATGATATATTATCATTCTAGGTAAATATGTACTTAAAGTAAAGATAAGTACATCAAATGTTTTTCATAAATTTAAAGCTTAAAACCAATGCTTGAAATTGTTGAATCTAAAGTTAAATAAAACCAAACATCAAGTGAAAGTTTCCAATCCCAAAATAAATAAAAAGAAAACATCAAATCAAAACAACAAATTACTCTTTTTGTTCTCCAACTTAACCACCCACAATTGATTCAAATGATGGGAGTGTCTCTTCTTCATCAGCAACTCCATCTTTGCAAGTAAAAATAATTAAAATTAGTAAACGTTATATTGAAAATTAAAACTCCAAAAAATGATCATGTGAACAATTCAAGTTCATAAGCTTCATATCCTTTTAGCCAATTTCTACTGCATATGAGAGCTTGCACATTCTTTCGAAGTAGACGACTCCTATACTTGTTAAGAACTCGCGATCTAATACTACATGAGGACTCTGAAGCCACTGTTGTTATAGGAATACTCAGCAGATCACAAACTATTGCAGATAAATCACCATATCGATGAGCATTATCTTTCCACCAATAGAGAATGTCCAGGCTCTGGAAACTAGTCATGTCCAAAGCTGGTTCATTAAAATAAGCTTCTAGACCAGTTTTCCCATTAACAACACCACTGACTTTTCGAAATTTCAAGAAATCCTAGAATTTTTTTAAAAAAGTTAGAAACGATTTAAAAAAATATTAACAAATTGCAAGAAACACTCACATCATAGTTTCCAAATATTTCATTTGGTCCATCCGTAGCAGCATTTTGTTGAACCGTCTCACGTGGCTCTGTAGAAGGTGAGTTTGTCTTGGATTTTATATCGTACGCCTCATAAAGCTTACCGAGATTTTTCACAACTTCTTCAACTTTGCATCACGTGTACTCATGTCAAGCTTCTCTAAACAAAACTCAATCATTGGAAGCTTTATACATGGATCAAAGACTGCTGCCACTGCAAAAACAATATTAACCTCATTCCAATACTTATCAAACTTTTCTTTCATCGGTGACACCATGTCTCTGACAATGTCATCTTCACTTTCCGCATTAATTGAAGCCAATTATGGATCTTCCAGACCTGATAGAAATACAAATTCGCAGTTGGGTAGTGAGAACCTGACATCAAACATGTGATCTCAGAAAAAGGCCCAAAAAGGGCATATTTTCTCAGCTCGTGTCCATTCCTCAGTTGTAGGTGCCATCTTATAACCTCTCATATCAAATATCTCCAACTTAATAAATTCTTTACGGTACTTGATGGATCTGTCAAGCATATAGAATGTCGAATTCCATCTTGTTGTGACATCCAATATCAGCCCCGCATCCTCTTTAACACCCGAAGCAACAACACATTTTGCAAACAATGCTTCTCGAGTTTCCGATGCTATCACATACTTAATATTCTCTCTTACTTTGTGAAAATAGCCTCAAAGTACCTTCAAACCATCTTAAACAATGAGATTAAGTATGTGAGCTGAACATCTGACATGGAAAAACTTTCCCTTATACAATAAGTCTTCCCTCAACATCAGCTGTGCTTTGACAATATCTTGCATACAATCATCATTGGTAGCATTATCCAATGTGAGAGAGAACATTGTTTTGCCAATTCCCCCATTCTTCCAGTGAATCAACAAATTGAGTCGCAACATTCATACCATTATGTGGTGGTGGTGGTAGAGCACAAAACGTGAGGATCTTGTTGTTTAACTTCCAATTTTGATCAATGTAATGTGCAGTCACACACATGTATTCCTTCACGTTTCAAAGATAAAAACAGAGTTGAAGGAGACTCGTCCAGGAAGACTCGTTAGTTCCCTCTTGAGTGTCTCTCTTTCTCGCTTTCATACAGTCGATAAACATCTAATTTCGCCGTGTTTCGACAAATAAATTTAAGATCAACATTCAAATACTTCCATGTCTCTCTCACTTTTTGGTACTCCACGTAAGAGAATGGTAGATCATGTTGAACTATTGTCTTTGCTACCAATTGTCTAAAGACGGTATGATCATACTTGCAAGATTGTACTTTCCCCTCACCATTCATTTGTTGCTGGTTTCCGATATTTCTTGGATACCTACTGGCTACTGCATCTATCTCGATGTCTTCTCAACCCAGTTGTTCCATGCGAGTGAGAATGCCATGCATACTCATTCTTACAATGGTTGCATGCAGCTTTCATCTCTCCATTGGTTTTAACAACCACCTTAAAATCATCCCATACATCTGATCTTTGCTTACTCTCCCTATTCGGAGAACCGGTTTCATCTTCATCGAATTCTTCTTCATCCAAGTCTTCTTCATCCAAGTCTTCTTCATCAAAATCCAGAATCTCAGGTTGGATCTTCTTCTTCTTTTGTGGCTGTCTAGACGAGGCCTTGTACCTCCTCCCCTTAGTCATTGGCGTTCGTCTCCCGCCTCGGATCACAGCTTTCATAGGTACATAATTCTTCTTACCACACGCCTGAGAGGATGAGCCAATGGCCCCATCTGTTGTTGATTGGAACATTGGTTTCTTAGAGGTTGTTCCATAACTGGCTTGTCTGCGAGGCTGGCTTGGCTGGGTAACTTGGGTTGGTGGCGTTATTTCAACATCAGAATCATCTTCTTCGTCAACAAGACTGATGAGCCTTCTTTTCCTTCCTTTGCTTCCTTGCGTATTTCCTTTAGGACTACCATTAGCAGCATCATTCGCAGCTTCTTTTTCAAGTTGTGCTAAGATTTTCTGAGTCTCAAGGTCAATGGAATCCAATGGCTGAAAGTTAGTATCCATCTGGCTGTCTCCTTCCTCGGTTCCCATGGTCTCTCAACTCTCAAGTAGCGATTAGGTATTTTCAGAAAAAATGATCTTTGAGATTGGTTTACTCAAACCATAGGATTAGTCTTCAGTAATTATCTCTGAACTTCTGATGGAATGAAAAAGTGTTCTTTGAGATGAAGTTTAACATTTTTTTATTCCGTTTCCACTTCAGATGGTTGAGAGACCATAAAGGATTGAACGTTTATGTGGAGCCACGAGTGAAGGCATAACTTTTGTCGGAATCAAGCTCCTTTGACTTTGTACAAACTTGGGAAGATGGTAAAAGATATTCTTATATGCTGCATTGTCTTGAATCCCATCCCAGGCTCCAGATTCAAACATTTAGCATAAACTTTTTGTTAATGCAGACAAAGAAATTTCACTACTACACCCAAAGGTTGACCTTGTTATAACTCTTGGTGGAGAGGGTACAGTTCTATGGGTAAAGTCAACGGCACTTCACATCTGTGTCACATTTTATAATAAATTCTAACATGGAACATCTTAACGATTACAGGCAGCATCCATGTTCAAAGGACCAGTGCCTCCAATTGTTCCATTTTCCATGGGATCTCTTGGATTCATGACTACTTTCTGTATCCTTTAAATATTTTCTTTCAAGCATTTTTTTTTTTAATTATACAGGGGTATCATGGCATCCATTAAAGTGGGTCCAAACTATCCACATGTTACCACGTGTCGGTCCCATGTCCCTTGGCCATGCCAAAATGTTAATATCCCAGTTGCTAGGATGCGAACCTGGACGCGAACCCTGGTGGCTTCACCGTATTGTGCCCTCAACTTAATCACCACTGGACCACAAGCTTCTATTCTTTCAAGCATTATCCGTCACTAGAACTTTTTTCTTTAACTCTTTATGAAACCAGACAGCGAACAATACCGAGAATGTCTCAAAGCAGTTTTAAGGGGTCCAATAAGTATTACATTACGACACAGGTTGCAGTGTCACATAATCAGAGATAAAGCAAGGCATGACTACAAGACAGAGGAGAATACGCTTGTTCTGAATGAAGTCACCATCGACCGTGGAATATCATCTTACCTTACAACCCTTGAATGTTACTGCGACAACTCATTTGTCACATGTGTGCAAGGCGACAAACTTATACTATCTACAACCTTTGGTAGCAACGCGTACTCGCTTGCAGCTGGAGGGTCAATGATCCATCCACAGGTAATAATTTGTCCCTCATGATGGCTTTTTTTTTCTCAGATCATGAAGGACAATTATTCTGAATTTGTTGTTTTTGCAGGTTCCTGGGATATTGTTCACACCAATCTGTCCGCATTCACTTTCTTTCTGGCCACTGATATTACTGGACCATGTTACAGTGAGAGTTCAAGTGCCATTCAACAGCAGAAGCTCTGCGTGGGTGTCGTTTGATGGGAAAGGTAGGAAACAGCTTGAAGCAGGGGATGTGCTAGTGTGTAGCATTGCACCGTGGCCTGTATCAACGGCTTGTCAGGTCGAATCAACTCATGATTTTTTTACGCAGCATCCATGATGGTCTTCACTGGAACTTAAGAAAGACTCAATCTTCTGACGGCCCTCATGACACTTGAATCAAATTTAGCCAAGATCTCTCTCTATGTCTCTTTTATTCTAAAACCATATACAAATAGTTCCATCTCTGCATGCATATAAATAAAGAAAGATGTAAAGGAAAGTGATGGGTTCTGTAGAGTACCTGATTGTGTCCATTGTTCATTGTAAAGGAAATGTAGAATGTAGCTATTATGAACAATAATTATGGCGATGTGATGATCACTCATAGTTAATGAATCAAATATGATTATGTTCCCTCTCTCTCTTTCTCTCTAAACTTGTCTGGATCGTAGTTCACTGTGTGTGTTCTGTTTTCTATTGCCTCGGAGATCTAGAAGATCGACCCAAATCCAAGATCAAGATATACATCAATATATTAGAATAGTAAACTTATCATTATCTATAATGTATTATTTCATATTAGTTTAGAAATTAGGTTTATGCATCTATATAATCATATACATATTATTGTAATATGTTCTTCATGGGAGTCAATAATACTTCTTTCCAATTCTCCACTCTCACCAATCTATCACCTCGTTTCTTCGTTTAGCATTTATGTTCTCTCTATTTTAAATTGATTTTATATTACGTATGCATCTATTCTATTTATGCTTTCCGTTTAGCTTTTCCAGCGGTTCTTTCAACTAGTGTGGTCGTTTGTGTTGTACTTCAGCAATTTCTCCAAGATTGGTAATTGTTTATAAAATTTGGTTTGAACACAAAAAGTTATTTATATATATATAAAGATTTTATTGATAATTCATGATGACGATAACAATGCAAGTGTATATTTTAAAAAGTAAAATTAAGTAATATCTTATATATAATTTTCTATTTACTATAAATATTAAGTAATACAATCATATACTTTCATCTACACTATAATAAAAAATATTAAAAATAAATCTTGAGTTTTAGTTTTCTATGTTTTTTAACACTTGATCCATTCATCAAACTAAAATACAGGGGATTTTTATTTTTCTATTAAATTAAATTTTGCTAAAATATATTCACGTGAGTTAGAAGTGTGGATCATAATCTCATCTATTCTATTAAAATAGAAGTTACAACTTCATTTCATGTGTAGTTTCTTAAGAGCACCTTCAACGGGATTCCTTAGGGAGAATCCTTAGAGAAAAAATAATTAAATAATCAGTAGACTCCACAAAAAATTAAAGATTCGATCCTTAAAATCCCTAAATAAGGATTGTTTCTTAGCAAATTCTTACACTATCTGCGGGTCTCCAGGACATGTGGCAGCCTGCAAATGGTCATTTTTTTTTCTTTTTAAAAAAAAAAATCCGAAATAATATCCTTATCAAATCCGAAATACCTTTTTTTCTTAAGGACTCCTATGAGTCTCACGGTTGCGGATGCTCTAAGTTGGATCATCACTTAAAATTTTATTTACATGAATTTTTGCATACATTTTTGAATTATTTAACTATCCTAGAAAAATCGAATGGATATTCCTATATTTTCTCTGAATTAAATCTGAATAACATATTTTCATATCTTTTTCTTAACAATATAAATATATTTTATCTATTATATTAATACAAAAGTCATAACCTTGATTCATGTGTGATATTCTAAAAAATGGACCCTCATTAGAAATCAGTTATCATTCATTTATTCCTAATAATATAGCTTAATAATATTTCATTCCTAATATAACGAACGACTCCTATAAAACCGGATTGGCTAACAAACACATATCTAATTCCTTAATAAATTATAGATAATGGTCATGTAAACTATCTTATAGTTCAAAAATATTGAATCGATTGCAATAATTCAACCAGTGTATACATAATCGATAAACATCTTATCTATTAAAATAGAAATCATGACTATTTTCATGTGTGATTTTTAAATTTGGACCATCTTTTGAACTACTTTAATCATAATATCTTTTCATTTTACATATAAACATATTTTTATTTTTAAATCTAAAAAATCTGTTTAAAAGATTTTAACAAGATCTTAATATTCAAATTTTTTGAGTAAATAGTTTAATAATTCGTAACTAGTTTTAATATATTATTATGCATTAATATATTTTATAAAATGTAGAATATAAGTTTAACATAAATATGAAAAATTATATTAAATTATTAATTTATATATTTTATTTTCAGAAGTATTTATGTTCAAAATGTAATATGTTGGTAAAAAGGGTTAACATTCGTAAACTATATAATACATGTATAAAAATTAAAAATGTATTTCATTAAAGCTAATAATCTAAAATATTTGTAACTATTTTAATCATGATATCTTTTCATTTTAATATATATATATATATATATATATATATAATTCTAACAAATCTGTTGAAAAATATTTTAACAATATCTTAATTTTTAGGAAGTTTATGAAAATATTTTAACTAATTTTGTAATTAGCAATAAAATATTATTATGCATTAATATATATTCAATTATCATTTAGAAAATGAAACATAAAAACTATATCTTATTTTATCTATTTTATAATAATAATAATTCATGTGAAAATAAATTTGTTATATTGAATTAGATATGATAAATTATATTAAATTGATAAATTTATAATTTTATTTTCATAAATATAAAATATTTATGCTAAAAGTTTGATACGGTGACATAATGGCTTAACATTCACAAACTATATGATACATGTTCAAAAGTTAACATATATTAGACTTTTGTATATACAAATAATATATTTTTTTAAATGAATAAACATGAAATATATTGCTAAAAGGAAATACGACTTCGAAAGTTGGCAAGTAAGAATTGAATATAAACTTAATACAAAATAATTTTCAAATATTTTGTTTTATCTATATATTAATTTTTAATAACTAAATAAAAATACATTAACATAAATATATAATAAAAAGCGACAAATACATGTGATGGTTTTAAAGTATTGATTAATTACCATGTAAACTATAAAATTATTATATTTGAAATAGGTATATCAACATTTAAATATATGATTTAAGTTAAAATGATATACCAATAATAAACTGAAATAAATATATATGTTTACAAAACTGAAAAAGAACATCGGCGTGGTTGCTCGTATTAAGATCTGTATTAAGATCTGTAGTTTTCAATAAAAAGGGACATCGGTTTGCTGCTTTCACTTGACTTGTGATCAAATTAGATACTAATATTTGCATATAGGTCCGTTTATTTAAAAGTCAACATGAAAGCTTAAAGTTGTTTTATACTAGCAAGTGGCAACATTCTGTAACTATGGAAGGCGTCTTAAATTGCTCAAAAAAAGTTACTGATTTCTTTCTTGATGGTTAAATGCCCTTTACATATTCAAGCATTTTGGAATTCAATACACGTGAAAAGTGAACATCAATTCAAAAAATTGATTAAAGAATAAAAATTCAATTAGTTGATACGTGCATTAATTTACTTTTAATAATTCTAAATGTATGCATTGGTAATAAAAACGTTGGCATATGCAAACGCGGTAACACCGGTCCAAACTTAACAGCTAGGGTTCGTTGTTTACAAGTGGAGCAGTGGAGGTTTGCGTATACACACGTCTATGCATAAAAGTTCATATCTATAAAAGGAGAGTAAACGGTCGCATTAGATACGGAACAGTCCACTTAAGACCCGTGCTTCATTTTGATTCTCAGTCTCTTTGCTCCCACTTCAGTTTATTTTATTTTATTTTCTTGTGTGAACTCGATCAATCTCATCGATCTAAGAAATGAAGCTTGAGTATATGGATTACATACTGGTGCCATTAGGGATGAGTTTGATGGTATTCTATCATCTCTGGCTTCTCCATCGCATCATCCACCGTCCGTATTCCACTGTCATTGGACTCAACGCCTTTAACCGCCGCCTCTGGGTCCAAGCCATGATAAAGGTCTTTTCCGTTCTGATTATTATATTTATTTGCTTTATTTACATACTCATTCTTATGTCAAAAAATGTAGATGATTTTGTCATAGTTTTAGAGAAATTTATTTTTTAAAAATGAAACATAAAAATTAGACAAAAATTCTTTACGTATGTGATAGATAGATTCTGAAGATTTCCTAAATAGATGATGAATCCTTAAGTGTGAAAATCAATGACAGTGAATAGATGCTTTGCATATATTGGGAATATAAACGGATGCTAATGTTCTTACTTTTAGAAAATGTAAAAACAAAATACAATTTTGTTTCTCCACAATAGTTTTCCTCTTTTTGGTTTTCTTGTACAACTCGATTACAACTAATCCGTGTCTTTTTTTTTTTGAATGAATGTTAAATTGTATTCATCAAAAAAAGCTTTTTTACAACATTGTTTTTTTAGCCTAAGCTAATTACAATCTTGTCTGTAAAATTTTCTCTCTACTCTTAACTCCTTTACCCTTTACCAAGCTAAGTATATTTCCAACTTCTTTAAATCCGTGTCCTTTTTACAACAAATGAGAACAGGATTCATCAAAGAACCGCGTTTTAGCGGTTCAAACTTTAAGAAACAACATAATGGCGTCAACTCTATTGGCATCAACCGCGATAATGTTGTGTTCACTAATCGCTATACTAATGACCAGCGGTACAGAAGAGCGATCAGTCTGGTTTGTGTTTGGAGACAAAAGCGACCGAGCCTTATCTATCAAGTTTTTCTCAATCCTCGTTTGCTTCTTAGTGGCGTTTCTTCTAAACGTCCAATCAATCCGTTATTACAGCCATGCAAGCATCCTCATCAATGTCCCTTTCAAAAAGCTCATGGCTGTTTCTTCAGGTTGTCATAGCCTTATGATAAACCAAGATTATGTGGCTTCAACGGTTAGCCGTGGAAGCTACTTCTGGTCGTTAGGACTAAGAGCGTTCTACTTCTCGTTGCCTTTGTTCCTATGGATATTTGGTCCGGTTCCGATGTTCATAACTTGCTGCGTTCTTGTTACTTTGTTGTACTTTCTTGATTTAACATTCGACCCGATGGATTGTAGCGTTGGGGCCGTGGACGAGGAGGAGACTGATATTAGAAGCTTAGCTGAAAATGTGTAGTAAATAGTTGAGAGATTAAAGTTATGTGTACTGGTTCGGATTTTATAAGTTGTATCGATTCAGGTTCAATGGGTGTTGAACCGTGTCAATGAGTTATTATTATGCTGCGTAGTGAATAAAACGTTATCTTCTCCAAGAGTTCTAACCGTGAAATTTTCACTCTGGTAAATTGTTGCGTATTGAGTTCTTTTTTTCCTTTGCGGAAACATATTTCCAATACTGGTATAGTTTAATGTATATTATATAAAATAAAAGCATATAATATACTGAACATTAGTGCTATGAGCCATGAGGTCACATTTAATTTTGTTTTCTGGTCAATCACATTAATTGTTCGAGATCTCCCTCGAAGCTTTTCATAACTAGGACAAATGCTAGCGATCTAAAAAGTCATACTAAGCTAGATCGATACGAAGTTATTACTAAATGTCCTTTGACAAAAAAATAAGTTATTGACAAATGTTAAGATCTCCCTAAGAATTTAATGCAATCAAAATAGACACAGTTGTCCGAGCAGTGTTCTCTACGGTTGAGATATCCTAAAGAGTTAATGACCTTCTACAGCTGACACAAGCAAACGGTGCCCATACTTTAAGCCAGGAGACGACTTTGGAAGCAAAGTTCTACAACCAATGTCAAAGTCAACAACCATCAGAGGAGAGGGAACGCCAGACAATTAGAAGTTGGGCTGAAGCCAGGGTTTAGGCGAGCATGCAACGGAGTTTGCTGAAGAGTTGTCTGAGCAATTTATTGTCTGCAGCTGACACAAGCAAGCGGTGCGCATACTTTGACCAGTACATACCCGTAAATGCAGCATAACAGTCATCATCACAAAACATTTTAAATTTTATGTTTAATCAGTATTCAGTAGACTAAAAGGCCTTCACAAAAGAAATTAGGGGCCTAATTGGTTGACTTACTGTTATACGATTTAAATGTGTTTATGACAAAGGATTTCACTGCTGTATTGTTGATTAGTTAACACATGGACCGATATGTCTGCACAACAAAAAGTATTTGGTCCACTTTTGCGAGAGAGCCTCTCATGGTTATTCTCAGCAAAGATAAATCATGACACGTGGCAACAACCCATTCGCATAAAAATCATATTTGGATAAGGAAATAGATAACTTCTCATCAAACTCAGCGCTTTCCACAAACTCAAATCACCCTCAAACTTCTTAAAACACATTCAACCATCTCAGAAGCACTAACCGAAGAGAGTAGAATCAGACGTAGGATCCAGTCAACTATCAAGCAATGGCATCGATGACCATGACAGCCACATTCCTCCCAGCCATCGCTAAGCTTCCTACAACCACCTCCGGACGAAAGATGTCCATGGTCAAGGCCTCAACGAGCGAGAACACAACCAGCTTAGAAGTCAAGGCCAAGGAGGAAAAGAGCACCACCACAATGAGGAGGGATCTCATGTTCACGGCTGCAGCTGCGGCCGTTTGCTCCTTGGCAAAGGCAGCCATGGCTGACGAGGAGGAGCCCAAGCGAGGAACAGAAGCCGCTAAAAAGAAATACGCTCAAGTTTGTGTCACAATGCCTACAGCCAAGATCTGCCGCTACTGATTCAACAATCCACCTTTCATGTCTCTCTCTATCTCTCTCTCTTTCTCTATATTTCGGTAATTTTTTCTCAAATTTGGTCTGTAATCATACATTTATATTTTTCAACTAGAGTTCGTCCTCTTTTTCATTTTAAACAAAACTTGACAAAAGCATTGGATAGTGTAACACAATATAGTTTCTGAAAGCTATGTTAACACCAAACCGTCCTACTAGGTTAAAACACCATACAAATCCAAACTGAAACTAAACTACTACCAATATTATTCAAGAACAAGCCTATTAAGATGTCACACATCACCTAATCACCTTCAAACGTAGAGCAATGCCTCTCTCATCCAACCTCGTGTTAGCAAACACTTCCCCATTCTCATCTCTAATAGTGCACTCCCCTCCACCTATCGCCACCGAACCGCCACCTGCCGTCAGCTTACTAATACTCAACACGTTTCTGTTAATCCCCGGAACGAAAAGCACATTCTTGATCATCTTCCTCACACCCTTCATCGTAATCTTCACATCTCCTTTTCCCTCAGCCATAACAACATCTCCATTAGCCAACCCAACACGCCCTTTGTAAGTCCTATCCAAAGTGGAGAAAACCTTCAAGTACGGAGACATGTGATCCGAAGCAGTCGAGTACACCATCCACATATCGTCATCGTAAGTGAAATCACCCGTCGCCGTCAACATCAAATGCTCAGTCTTCTCCTTCTTCATAGCTTTGCAATCTTCCCCACAGTCCCCTCTTGCTCCACATAGGTGGCATTGGCCACTCGTGTCGCTACGATAACAGTCTTCTTGATTGTGATCGTACTTCTTGCACAAGCCACACCACATCTGCTCAGACTTGGCTTTCTCAAGACTCTTATGAAACTTCTTCAGCTGTTGCGTCATGTATTCGCCTGGATGATCCCCAAACATTTCAAGAAGACCTATCAGATCTTTAACCGTCATATCAGGAAGACTCATTATCTCCTCCAACATTGTAACGGAATCATCATAAGGCCATGACAGCGATGTCAACAGCTTAGTGATTACTTCGTCATCGTCTTTCGGATTTCCCCAACGGCGAAACTTATCGACGAGATCCAAAACTCTTTCCAAGTAACGATCCATGGATTCTCCGTCATACATTGTTAGATCTTCGAATTCTTTAGTTAACTTTGGACGATTCGGTTCTTCGTTACCTGATTTGAGGAGATCCCAGAGATCCTTGGCGGAAGAGACGGAGAAAGTGTTACGGTAAGTGGAATCAGGGAGAGATGATTGGAGGATCTTGAGAGCTTTCATGTCTTTGATCGCGCGGTTTCTCCATTCCGCGAGTTCTTTGGGAGTGATCCTCGCGGATAGATCTGGGAACTTGGTTGGATCCATTGGGACTCCGTTCGTGACGACGTCCCAGACTCCGTTGTCCATTAGCTTTTTCTTTGTGGTTGGAGCCCATTGTTTGTAGTTTAGGTCATCGGAAAGTGGGATTTGTTGTTTATTCGCCGCCGCCATTGCTGTAACCGTCAGGGTTTCGATAAACCTTTTTTTTTTAAGTATATTCTCTTGAGAAGGGAGAAAGCGAGTAATAAACTATTAGCCTCACCTGACACTTTATATTTACAGATAAACCGAAAACCCTAAATTACATTTTGAAATCACTAAATGACCGGTGGATCAGTTTTTGGTTTATTCTTGGTTCGGTTTAACGCAATTAGAAAAAATATGTATTCGGTTCAGTTCCGTCAGATGCGTGTTAATTTCGTATGATAATAATTCGGTACACTTCTAGAATTCAAAACGGTTTTGATACCGATATGATTGGGAAGAGTTTCTGTTAAGGGAAATCAAGTTCGGTCAAGTCTGGTACCGTTTAAGTAGTTTGACCAGGTTAAGCAAGTCTTTCCACCGACGATAAACAACTACTGATGGTTTTGGTTTGGATAATTATACAACAAAACAGTAAAAATTTTACACTTACATTAACAGAAAAGTATATATGAATGTAAATTTTAAAACCTTGGCCTTTTAAATACGGAACGAGTGATGTTTTGTTACCTAATTGTCCAAAAATAAAATTATGCGTTGTGTTCAATTTGTGGTTACTAAATTGGCTATGAAAATACATTCCCCAGTGCACAGCTATTTTAAAGAATTTCTTGTAGTGTTTGCAGCTTTCTCTGACTTATCCTTTAGTATTTAAAAAGAACACTAGATTTTGACCCGCGCTTTCAAAGCGCGAGTTTATGTTTGATGCAAACTTTATATAATCGCATTTATTATACATGTAGAAATGTGGGATAAACATGTTTAGTTCTTTCATTTCATCAAACAATGTCTTTTTAAAAATGCAGGATAATCTTTCGATGAAAATATTATATGATCGCATTTTTGTTTTATATAAAGTAAACATGTGCATAAAATCCATAACTCGACGTCTAAACTCAATCTAAACAAAAAAAAAAGGACCCGTAACCGGTCAAAAATCTAAAATATATTAGAATGAGTTTTGTAGGGTGGTACAAATTATATCCAAATCAAGTGTTATTAGTCAGACCCGAACGAATAACTCAAAAACCCAAAAAAATCTGGAAAAAAATCTGAATCGATCTGAATGTCCAAATTAATCATAAATATAAATATTTGAAACATAAATATCTAGTTTAAATATTCAGTTCTATATTTATTTTAAAATGCTATTTAAAATTAATTATCTAAATTTTAACTAAGTACTTTAATATCCAATTCTATAAAAATAAGTATCTTTCTTTTGTTTTGGTTTTAGATTTTAGATTGACAAACCGATATAACCCGAATGCAAACGATATATGGTTACTTTATCGGTTTAGGATGTGTACAGATTAGAACCAAACCCGACGTGTTATATTTGAATCTGATCCATACTTACAAACATGTCTACTTAGACACCTATGATGTGATATAAATTAGGTTTGGTTCAAAATATTCGACCCGTATCCCAATAGGTACTTGAATTCTCAAGCATAACTTATATTATGTTTTATATTTTGTTAAATTAATTTATATTTGATAAATATTTTGTCTGTTTATTAGAATAACCCGTAAAGTTATAATCATAAAAATATCAATAATAACATGTTTCATGATATAACTAAATACTAATAGTAGCTATTATTAATATTTATTTTATAAAAATTATATATATATATAAATGATTTTAATATTTTATCTATGATAATTATATTATTATGTATTGGTGGAGGTTTGAAAAAAATGTTTATTATTATTTTGTGTATCAGTTACATATAATTAAATGTTAATTTTTTATATCCTAATGTTTTAATTTAGATATGTATGTTAAAATACAAAATTATTTCATTTTTAATATATTATGGTAGTATTTTGTTATTTTCTAAATGTAATTCATCTAGTTTATAATTTATAAAGTTGATTAATTTATATTATAATTATTATTTTGTGTAATATTTAGTTACAAATATGAAATATTTATATATAAATGTTATATAAAGTTAGTTCTTATTCTATAAATCAAAATGAGTTAATGCTCATTTATAATTTAATTTAATATTATTTATGTTTTTATTAGTAAAATAATATTAAAACAATAAATATTTATTTTTAAAACAAAAATATATTAAATATATTGTTCAAAAGTAATCTGAAAAAGTAGTTAAGAGTATCTTTTTGATATCTTATTTTGAATATATTTAAATATTATATTAATATTATGTTGTTATTTAATAATAACTAAGTTTGTTATATGTAACATAACACAAAATTAAATAAATGTAATGTTTTGAGGTAGACTACTTGCAAGTAGATAAAAAGTGTTTCTGTTTTAATAGTATTGACTAGATAGTGACCCGCCCTTTCAAAGGGCGGGAATATGTTTTGTTTTAAGCTTTTTTGAGAAATTTAATTTTTATATTTGTGTTTTTGGTAATTATATTTGTGTTTAATATTAATTTAATTAAATATAATTTTTGGTACCTATCTTAAATATGTCCAGTTACATAACTATACAATTGTGGCATATGCATTTCAGACATTATTTCCAAATTTTGTTTCTAAATTTGACAACATATTATATTTTCTCAGTAGTTATCCAATTATAACAGTTATAATTGTTAACAAAAAGGTAATTGCTTATTTAACTAACCTATAGGAAGAAAGCGTGAGATATTTTAGGAAATAATTTATGATGTAAAATTCCATTAAGAATTTTAATTTTTTGTAGTGTTTTAAGAATTTTTTTTATTTAAAATCTTTTTATAATAAAATCCCAATTTTAAAACCAATTCGGATCCGCGATCGAACCAATAAACCCGTTGACTCGATATCTAATCCAGTTTGGATTTTTTTAAAATACCCATTAATTAAAAACTTGATAAAACCTGTAAAACGATAAAATCAGAGGTTGTATGTTGAACCAATGGGTGAAGGACATGTAATACAATTTTGTTAAATTTTTTTTATTTGTGAATAAAAATTTGAGTCAATGTTTGAATTAGATATTTTAAAAATAATTCTTAATTTTAATATTATTTTATTCTTTTCTTATATGTGTAATTCCAACTTGTTATAAAATAATTTTAAATAATATTGTTATGTGAAATGGAAACTATAAATAAAACTGAGTTTAAAACTTTATTATATTTTTAAACATGTTTTTAGTATTTAATTTTCTTATAATTATATACTATAATTAAGTAAACTATTGATCGTAGTTCATCCATGATTAATCTAATAACCTAGTAGTCTGGTTTAGATAGTGTTTTAAAAGTAATTAAACTAATGACCATATAGTTCATTCCCATTAACTTTTATAGTGAAAATAATATTTATGAAAGTAAAGTATCAGTATTATTGTTTCCAATATATTACAAAGTATGCATACTAAATAGGTCCAATGGTAGTTATATGTATAATAGAGTAATATAGGTATGCATACGTGTTTGTTTGGTTAGAATTAAAACATGAATACTTATTACTGTCGGTTAATATGAAAGAGGTGG